TCTTTTACGTGGCATTTGCAGATGTCTTCATAACCTTTTACGCCACACAAGTGAGGATAGGTCATGCGCTCGGGGAGCCTTGACAACTGGTAACCTAATCGCATAAAGGACAGACTTTTAACGATTTTTAAAAAAATAACGTAACAACTTATACCCAACTGATCCTGATCTGGTCCTGAGATCAGATATCAAAGTCAAAAATGAAATGAAACGTTTCAGGAAGAAACGCGAATTTATTCACAGCCGCACCAGGACCGCGCAGTTAGCAAAAAAGTTACAAATACTGCATAAACCTTCAGTGGCCAAAATAATGAAGATAATGTCGAGGGGATCCTCAGCAGCTGCTGAACCACACGGTTTGTAAGTAATCCGAAAATGTTTTTTTTAAATAAAAAATATCTAATAACTATCCGGACGCGGGTCTGGGGACCAAACTTTCATTTGTAAACGTAACTGCAAGATATCCTGCAATAAAAGTCAGGGAGAGGGGGAGGGGGGACGGGAGAGGGGGAGAGGGGGGAGAGAGAGGGGGGGGGAGAGAGAGAGAGGGAGAGAGAGAGGAGGGGGAGAGGGGGGACGGGAGAGGGGGAGAGGGGGGGGAGAAGAGGGGGGGGAGGAGAGAGAAAGGGAGAGAGGGGGGGGAGAGGGGGAGAGAGAGAGGGGGGGGAGAGAGAGAGGGAGAGAGAGAGGAGGGGGAGGGGGGGACGGGAGAGGGGGAGAGGGGGGAGAGAGAGAGGGGAGAGGGGGGGAGAGAGAGAGGGAGAGAGGGGGGGAGAGGGGAGAGGGGGAGAGAGGGGGGGAGAGGGTTCTGTGGCTTTGGTATACATTAGTGATTCAGTATTCTGGCTGTAAACCTTCAGACCATCTGATTATGTTTGTCTATTTAAGACTTTTTTTATTTGCTCGTTCTCAATTTCCCTCATTTAAACAAAAATGACAGGATCTGATTTCTGACCTTTTGTAGATTTAATTTTCACAATTAGAATTGCCACTGTGAATTGTGAATTGGTTAACACAGTGTTTTAATAGCCTATATGTCCTGTCTGTCCTTTAGCTGCAGTGTGGCTCTGTGCCTTTGCCCAGGGACCAGAGTTTAGCTATGGTTGCGCTGAAGGAAGCTGTTATCCAGCCACTGGGGATCTGCTGATTGGCCGAGCAGACAAGCTCGCCGCCACCTCCACTTGTGGCCTCCACAAACCTGAACCTTTCTGCATTGTCAGCCACCTCCAGGTATATACATATATACAGAGAGAGAGAGAGTGTGTATGTGAGGGAAAGGAATGGATGTAGTGTGTGTGAGCAAATCAATGCATTCCTGGGGCTAGACATTGTATTTGACTTTTGTCTCAAGATTACCAAGCTGGCCACTCTGGCTCCAGTCAGTCATGATAATTGCTTGGCCCTTTGGTCTTTCACTATTGTTTAATTGTGCTGTGAGAGAGAGCAACTATACAATAGTCCAGAGTACCTTACCAAGGTCTGCAAGGTTCAGTCCAACAGTTCCATGAGGTTTCCATGTTGCATTGTATATTTTTGTAGACAAATGCAGCTACTAATTTGCATACAGCAATGCCCCACAAACAGTTATAAAATAAATGATCACTTTATTTGGGGATTTGTTGGCCTGGTCAATACATGAAACTGCCTTTGTATAGTACCTTGGAATCTTTAACATTCATCTGAACAGGCAGATGTGACTTTAATGTCTCATTTGAGAAATGGCACTTCCAACAATGGGGCATTTTCCCCCAGCACTGCATTGGAGTGTCAGCTCAGTCCCAGTTTGGGCTAAGAGGCAAGAATGCTACCAATTGAGCCAAGCTGTATTCCTGATTCAAAAAAAACATTAGAAGCTGAAACATTACTTTTTTTCATTTATGTGCAGCCTTGGAAACTGACGAAAGAATGCTCACATTTTGCAGATCGTAGATATAGATAGTTTTGATTGGATTTGTTCTGTCAGACTTTATCCTTTGGTACAGCTGTCTGTACTCAGGTTTCAGTAATAACACATGGTTTTATTGTTTATGTTATCAGTCTCAATTCAGGCTGCATGTTTCTGTTGTAAGGAAATGGAAAGGTGATGAGATCATCCAAATCCACTGAATGGTTTTGACTCAAAATATATGTTTGGACTCCAAATATTGCTTCAGTGGCTGAACCAGTAAATACATTGATGTTTTTCAGTTGGAGCCAAAAGTGAGTTTTTGGTACTATTTCACTTGGCCTAGGAGAAAATTGGAGAAAACACAAGGGCTATTATTTTATATGCATGCAATTATTGAATCCATGAATGTTCCAGACAAACTAAGTTGCATTAGTGCCTCGCCTGATACTTTGATCATTTAATGTTTTAGGGACAGGTTCAAGAGTTATTGCATCTTTCATTTTATGTAATTCTGGATGATGTAAGATGATGGCTAGACAAGAGTATACTGTTCTTATAAAAGTTTCTATATTTTGGTCACCAAGATGAGGGATGTTGGTGCTAGAAACATGAATGGATCCCTTTCCTATATTGGGCACCAAGTGTCAGCTTAAAGCACTCAAGTTAAATTATAATAATTAAATATATTTTCTATAATACCTATTGACACACCTCAAAGCACTTCACAGGGAATTGCTGGAATAGTAGTGACCGTGTATTTGTAGGCAAACAGACAATTTTGCTTGGAGCAAAAACCATTTATCTGAGAATTATTATTGTAGGAGAAACACCTGGTTTGAAGCAGGCTCTAATCTGTCCCAACATGGATGAGTCCCAGCTGCAGAACACTCATGAAGCTTGAGTTGATCTTCCTCTAATTCATTTCACATAGGACTTTTCTACCAGCAGAGTGAAACTTTTGTCACATCTATGCAGTGTCTAATGCAGCATAGTACTATCCTCTATCTGTATAAATTAAATTTGAAATGAAAAACTGCTGCATTCCAAAATTCCATCAAATTGCCTCAGTAGACACAAATTGCCCCACTTATTATCTAAGATGTCACAAGGAGGTAGTAACGTCCTCTTAGATCATTCTTTTAAAAGCTGAATCAGGCAGCTGTTTTAAGTTTGTTGAAAAAATTAGGTGCATGCCAGTGATCGTATATCGTATGGATGTATTTTGCAACCCTGGTGAAATTTGGTTTTCTTTTTCAAAAAAGAAAGCAAAAATCTGCGTTGTTGGAGGTGCCGTTTTTTGAATGAGACTTTAAACCAAGGTCTGTCTGTTTAGGTGGACAGTAAAGAGTCCTTGACAATATTCAAAAAGACTGGTGTCCTGGATAACAATTCTCCCAAATAAAATTGATTATTCATTTCATGGCTAATTGTGAGATGTTGCTGTATGCTTTCACCTACAAAATATACTGGCCTTTATAGTATACCCTGTGAAGCGCTAGGAGATATCCTAACATGAAAGGTCAAATATCAAATGCAAAGTTTATTTATTGTATCCACTGTAAGAGGGCAATGGAAGAGAATAATGTATGCAATCTCTATTGGGTATATTTTGCCAATTCCATTAGAGTTGGAAGTTATATAGTCTTGGAACAAGCAAGTTGTCCGCTGTCCACTTTTTCTCTCTTTAAGAGCTTATCTTAAGATTCTTGAGCAATATTTTAAAGAACTGTTTGTATTGCAGAATTTTAAAAAAGTAATTGAGTGATTAATTTAAAGCATGTGGCTCATTGGTCTGCAGTTGTAATGCAGTTTTGCATTACTTGGCTCTGTTTGTGGTACTGTCTACTGTATTTCCTGTTGCCAAAAAGATTGGAAGGGGAAATAAGAGTGGAAGTCTGTAATCACTTAATCTGAAGTCTAAAAATGAACACTCAGAACCAGTTTATTAGTTGCATGGTAATAAGAAGTATAGCATTTTAACTCCTATTAAAAGTATTCAATTATGATACATGTTTGCCTTACTAAACAATTTGTCTTCTTCAAAGGCAAAAAGTAATATTGTATTGATGTATATTTAGTATTTACCTTAAGGGCTTTTAGGAATATAAAAAACAATGTTTGTTACTTAAAAATAAAAATAGTAAAAAAGTACCTTTGCTACAGTTAAGTAATACTGCCTTCCTTTCATCTTATCTGTCAGAGCCTAACAACGGCTTTCATGTGAGGATTTTGTTGTCACAAAAGCAGTCCTGTTTTGTCTTTATTCTGCAAGCAATGCCCAATAGTTTAAATGGTGCCAGTTTTTATCCGTTTGCTCATGATGTTGTGCGAATTAGTGATTCCCTGAAGAACTAAAGCCAGTCTGATCTTTTCAAGAATTTATTGTTTTAAGTTCTTGCATATTCATAGTATAGTAATGTCATCGCTACTTCCAGTCCTTCCCACGATGTTGTACATGTTAGGTAAGAGGTGTAAACCTCATTTATTTACTTCTAATAAGTGTTCTCTGTTTGAATTCTTTTGGGGAAATAAATGCGTCCTGGTAGAGGCACATCTGTTTTGCATTATCTGTATATGCCAGACAAGCAGTGGGATTCTTTGCATACTATTTAAATGCACAAGGCATTTGTGCACTGAAGAATGCACTGAATGCACTGAAGGCAGTATTACTTTTTATAGCTTCATAGATTCTTCTCCAGTAATTGAAGTTTTCTTGACCTACTTCAGTTAACTATTTTTCTAGCCATTTTCTTTTTCATCAAAGTAACAAAAGTCCTTTATTACATATTGCACAGTACAGACAAAATATAATGTCAAAACATGTTTGCCAAACAATTGCATACATATGATGTAAACCACAAATCGCAACTTTTTTTTAGAAATGCTGCAGATCAAAAACAATGACAACAAAGGAAAACATTCCAAAGTCCTCACACTAAGTTATTTGGAAATGTAGTGACAGTTATGTAGGCAAAAATTTAGTAGGTCATATTGGAATAAATGGTTCATTTCTTCACTGCCAAATTTGAATTATTCCGAGCTTCCATCCACTTCATATCAATTTTAGATGCATAGTTTATTGTGAATGTGGCTCTGGGGAGGTTAAAAAAAACTACAGTAAGTGAATTTCAATTTAATGATTTCAGGAAGAGAAGAAATGCTTTCTGTGTGATTCGCGGACTCCTTTCACAGAAAATCCTAACAGCCATCGCATTGAGAATGTAGTCACAACTTTTGCTCACAACCGCCTGACCACCTGGTGGCAGTCTGAAAATGGTGAGTGTGGGTTATCAGAAAAAATATTACTGTAATATTCAGAATAAGAAAATATAGTAATAATCCTTGCATTTGATATTCTGCCTCATCACATTGGAACATCTCAAAGTACAGCCATGAAGTGAATGACCAATATTATCTGGTGGATTGTTTGCCAGAACAGGGAGAGAAACTCCCTTCACTTTCTCTGTAGTGCTGTGGGATCTTTAATATTCACCTCACGCAGATGAGAACTTGAGTTATCGTCTCATCCGAAGGACAGTGCTTCCTACAATGCAGCATATTCAAGCACTGCAGGAGCCAGGAGTATGATCTCAAAGTTCCAAAAGACATATTTAATTGTGTTAGCATACTGAAATTAATTGTTTGTCTCCTGAGGAGTACAAAAATCCTTTTTAAACCAATATATTTTTGTTTCTTCAAGTGCCCTCCCCACCTCCCTTCACATTATTGCCAGAATAAATAAAAATAATCGCATTTGATATAGTGCCTTATCATGGCTTCGAGACGTCTCAAAGCACTTCACAGAATACACATCATGTGAATTGTATATTTTGTGGGCGAAACTCACAATGAGAGCCACCTATTCTACATATTGAAAATATGAATGTAAGTGGTCAACAGAGAATTAGTTTGGATAACTAGAAATTAAAAGAATTCACTAGATGTTGAGATTTTAAAAAAGTTAATTGGATCGTATTGCTAAGATTCTGTAGCTATGTTTTATGAATGAGTTTCTGTTAGAATGCCATTCTTCCCTTTCAAATGCATATGCAGTCAGTGTTGCAACTCTGTCTCTTGTACGTGGAAGTTTGAGAATCATTTGCTCAACTACATATAGTAATTAGCATGTGTGCATTTCCATGAAAAAGCCCTGGCATAACCATTGACATTGCATCATAAGTTAATCACCAAAGCTAATTTTGGATGGCCACTATAACGTTTTTTGCATTTTTTAATAACATATATGAAAAGTTGCCATGCTAAAATTATTTTGCAGTATTGTGATGAAATGTTTAGAGATGTGTTTGAATTTGGTCCTTTCTTCCGGCAGGTTTGGAAAATGTTTCTATTCAACTGGACCTGGAGGCAGAGTTCCACTTCACCCACCTCATCATGACATTTAAGGTACAGTAATAATCTAATTTGCTTGCATCTCTGAGTTGCCTGTGTTAGTTTAATGAGTGTGACGTCTCATAATTGTAAATGGGCATACATTTGTATATTTTTTCATTCTGTATTGGTGAAGGAATATGGAATTCCTTTACCAATATGGAAGAAATACAGAGAATTAACTTTTTATACTGATATTCTTGGTCTCTGAGTTGGACCTCAGCTGTGTTTGACACAGTCGCCCACGCCATCCTCCTTCACGGCCTCTCCTTGTTTCTTAACCAATAGTCAGCACTTCATCTCAGCCAGTGGTTTTTCCTCTCACCCCGCCTGGTCACCCCAATGCTCCATCCTTGGCCCCATCTTTTCCTTATCTACAAGCTTCCTCCTGGCGGTGTCATCCGCAGATGTGGGGTCAGCTTCCACATGTGTGCAGATGACACACAAATCTACTTCTCTTCCTCCAGCTGTGATTCCCAGTCCGCTGATGTTCTGTCAATTGTCTGACAGACATCAAGGCCTGGATAAGCGTAAACTTCCTGTAGCTGAACATTGACAAGATGGAAGCCATACTCTTTGGCACTCGTCAACGTCTTTTCTCCTGCGGCTCAGACCTCCTCACCCTCCCCAATCTCTCCCAGAGACTCAGCGAATCCGATCCCCAGCTATCCTTCATACCCCACACCCGGTCCCTGGCCAGGACTGCTTTCCTCCACCTCCGCCACTTTGCCTGCGTACATCTGTGCCTCACTCCAAAAGCTGCTGAAACCCTCGCTCATGCCTTCATCACCTCCCGCCTCGACTACTCGAATGCCATCTTTGCCGGTCTCCCCTGCTCCACTATTCCCAGAATTCAACTAATTCAGTGCCTGCATTCTCACCAGCACTAAACTCTGACCCTACATTACTCCAGTCCTTGTCAAACTCCATTGGCTCTGTCATAGAAACGATCAATTTCAACATCCTGACTCTTGCATTTAAATCCTTTTATGCCCTGGGACCCCACTGTCTCTAACCTGCTCTCTCTCTACACAACTACCCACTGCCTCCGCCCGACTAGCTCCGGCCTCCTCCTTGTCCCCCGGACACTCCGCCCCACAATCAGTGGCCATACTTTCAACCTCTACCCCTCAAAGCTGTGGCACTCTCTCCCTCAATCCCTTCTCCTTGCCCCCCTTTCCCTATTTTCAGGCCACATTTGAAGACCTTCCTCTTTGACCGTGCCTACAGTCACCTTCCCCCTCCCCCTGGCTCAGCATTGGGCTCTGTCACTGTTAAGCTCTCTGAGACGCCGTCCATGTGAAAGGCACTATATAAATGCAAGTTGTTGTCTCTTGAGTTGGATGGTGTTCTCAGTCTAAGTGACTACAATTCCAGAGTGATGTGCACGTCCCACCTTTTAGAAGCCAATCATGTATATTTTATCTGTGAGACTTGTTGCTCTACTGGATAGTGAGAATATTGCAAATTCCTATTTTATCAGCCCTTTGAAGACTGTTACCATACTTTCACAATAGCTACTTGCTAGTCGACACTTTGACTCATATTACTGAAGTGGCTAAATTTCCAGAATATCTATGCTTTTAATAAATACTTTTTTTTAAAAATATACTAAAATGCATTTTGCTAACACAACTTGACTATTTAATTTATCCTTCCCCACTCTAATTGAATATTTGTAGCAAGTAAGGGACCGATAGGAGTTTATTTCCAAAGCAAGCTGGACTCATGCCAGACCATGTTTAAACCTCCTACGTCCAATGCTGACTTCACCCCCTGTTCTGTGGGGTGGAGCTTAACTTAGCAAACTTTGTACTCATATACTGACTCTGTGTGCACAAGCTCTACTCATTTGAGAATAACGTTTTCCAGTGTTTCTAGTCTCACCACCCCAGGTGCTTTTAAAGTATCTATGACATGTTTTTGATTTCATTTTCTGTAATGTCTTGTCATTTTGTTAAATGGTGACGACTGCTATTAGTTTGAATGAGGTGTTAGGAAATTCAATCATTTCAGATTCTACTGACCATTGCAGTGATGGTTACTCAGCTGGAATGATGATAGGATCGCTTGTTGAGCAAGGCACCCAATGTTATACAGTACTCTGAAACAAAAGCTGATTCTGTTAGTTATTTGGTGGGAAATGCTCACAGATATTTACTCTGAAATTGTATGAGTTTGAAAGTGTCTTAAAGATGGGAAACAATGTATAGACTGGATCCAGAAATAGACTTATAATAAACATTGATGTACTGGAGTTATGGTAAGCAAGACTGTGCCTGGGATTTCCCTTGTGAGGTTCTTGATTACATACATTCAACTGTGTGGAGAATTGCTTAGTAGAGCCTAGGCATTTCCTAATAGACAAGATGAGAGGGAAACTTTTCTAATAGTTATCTTTACGCAGGACTGAAAGATAGATGGTGAGACTGGATGGCATAGGGAGAACAATGAATTGTATATTTCCTGGACTGATTCCTTAGAGTAGAGGAGATTAAGGGGTGAGTTGATTGAGGTATTTAAAATATTGAAAGAAATGAACTAGTTAGATGGTGAAATACTCTTTCTTCCCCTTGGTCCATTATAAAGTGGAAATAGCCTCAAAATCAGAACCAAGACTGAATTGAGGTCAGGAACCATTTCTTTACCCAGAGAGTGATGAAAATGCTCTGCCCCCAAAAATCGTAGAGTTTGAATCAATAGAGATGTTTGAAAGAGAAATATATACTTGGGTAGTAAAGGTATTAACCTCCATGTAGTCTTGCTGTCTTATTTCTCATTGCTTATAAACACCATTTGTTGGAATATAATTATTGTATGGTAAAAGGATGGCATTAGGATGAAAAGATCTTCCAAGTTCTAATAAACTAACAGAACAGGTTCATTGGTTGAACTGTTCCCTCTGTTTCTAGAAATGGATCTTGCATTTCAAAATAACTTTCTGCATTAGTGAATAGCGAGTGAGGTTGACGTGAATCAGAGATGCAAGGAGAGATAAATGGCAATGAGAAATATATTTGAGTTTTTGCGGAACAATTGCCTATTCAGTGATTTGAGATGGCCTCCAGACATGAAAGGCACTATATGAATGCAATTTGTAGTTGTTTTATGAGCATCTAAATATATTCTGATCTATGAGGTTAATTACTTTATTAAACCCAAGTATGCACCTGATATCGAACATTAATTTCAGAGTCATTCTTCTGATTTAATTTCGGGAGGAATAACATTTCAAACAGTCATTTGATACTTATTTTAAGATCGTAAAATATTAACTGGAGCCAGCAAAGCAAATATGAATGAGAATTTACTTTTCCTATTGTAGCAAAGCTGCTGCACCTGTTGTTTATTGTTCATAGAAATTCTGCACAATTTATAGATTGTCTTTAGGATATTCCTAAGTCTTTTTTTTAAAAAAGCATTGCTTATTTCTCACACTTAGTTTTTTTATTCAATCCTTTACTTATTCAATACAGTTTCTGGATTTGAAAAAACAGTGTGTAGTTAAAAATTAAGTGGTAAATTCTCACCATTTCCTTTCCCCTCCAACTCTGTGCTGGCTTCCCAGCACCTTTATTTGCAGTGTTCTGCTATGGTTTATATTGAATCAAAAAAAAGTATTAAGAGTATACTGGAATGCACGTTTTGCTTGTTTAAAATAAGCAAATCCATTCATTTAATCGTTCTTTGAAGAAAATAATGAACTAACCCCAGATCTGACAATTTATATTATTATTATTAAAATTTGTTTTGAGCTTCCAGTTTTAACTTGCTTGAAATTTCCATGTAGTCTTGCTGTCTTATTTCTCATTGCTTATAAGCACCATTTGTTGGAATATAGTTCTTGTTTTAAGCTGCATGGTTAAATATCCAAGTCTTTTCGTGACAGAGGAACAAATATTTTCTCTTTTTTTNCTTTCTCAGACCTTTCGCCCAGCTGCAATGGTGATTGAACGATCTTCTGATTTTGGTAAAACCTGGCAGGTTTACAGATATTATGCTTATGACTGCGAATCATCCTTTCCAGGGATTTTAACTGGGCCTTTGACCAAAGTGGATGATGTCATCTGTGACTCTCGTTACTCTGATATTGAGCCATCCACCGAAGGAGAGGTTTGTGATTTTAAATATTAACATACTAAAAGCACATTGTCTGGTAGATCCCACACAATTAAATGTTTTGCATTTCAGTCTGGAAGTAAATTCCAACTTGTTTTTGAATACATTCCAAGCATTTTAGTTTTTCTAAAGATAGGTAATGTTATCAGGATCACATATCTGCACTCCAGAGTAGTGTGAGAGGTACTCCAATTGTTCTTATTTTATAATTTGAGGTATGAATGTGTGAATACACACACGGTGCTCCCAAAATTGATCTGACAAAGATTGTATTCACTGTGTGCTTGTAAGATAAGATATGTGGGTGTTAAGGACTACAGCATCTCATAATATTGGATCACAAAGTAGTGGAAGATTAGTAGAGCAGTTGTTGGGGAGTAGGGTCACAGGAAATCTCGGTGGAGCAAGGCCATGGAGGCATTTGAAGGCAAGGACAGGAATCTAAAGTTAATCTGCTGCGGGATTGTGAGCCAGTGTAGCTGGGGGTGATTGACTTGCAATCTGCAGAATTCTGGATGGTTTGGATTTTGTGGAGGGTGGAGCTAAGGAGACCAGTGAACAGGATGTTGGAAAAATAAGAGTCTGGAGGTGGCAAAGGGGCAGATGAGAATTTTAGGAGTGTGTGTGTGAGTGCGCCTGTGGGGGTGGGGGAGTGTGGGGGGGGGGTAGTGGAGGCAGATTTGGTCAAAGCCCAGGTGAAATGTTTAAAGTGGAGTTAAAAAATTTAACAAAATGTCAAGGTTCTGCGCAGTCTGTGTGAGCTGGTTAGACACTGTTGTGTGCAATTGGCTGCTGTGTTTTGCCCACAAAATATAGTCGATTCATTTTACAGTATATTCTGTAAAGTGCTTTAGACATCTCAAACATCATAATGCACTATCAAATGCAAGGATTATTATAACAGTCAGCACCTGAGTTGAGGAGGTGCTGATGAGAGCTGAGCAAGATAACCTCAATTTTGTCACCATGGAGTTGTAGAAAACTAAGGCTCATCAAGGACTTTTTCTAAAAGCCTTATCATTTTTAGGGTTGTGAGTGATAATGGGTTGAATTTTGGTACTGATAATGAAGACCAAATTATATTGTAATAAAAACTAATTGTGATATTGCAATATATTAAATTTACATCTCATGAAACCTCAAACCACAACACTCATTAACTTTTACACATTTTTACATATTTCAATCAAGCAACTGTATAAAACACATGCTGCATCTATTTATATTTATAATAGTTTTCGTATTTTGTTTATTTTCAGGTTATCTATCGAGTTTTGGATCCAGCCTTTAAAATTGAAGATCCATACAGTCAAAGAATACAAAGTAAAGTTTATGGTTTCAGTTTACTTGTACTGTCCATTTATATAGAAACAATCATGACAATTTCAGCTGTTTTATTTTTAAGCATATCAACTCAATAATAATAATTCTTGCATTTGATATACTGTCAGGAGGATATCCCAAAGTGCTTCACAGGATTTATACACACACATCTACAGTTCTGACTAAGATCGGCCAACTTAAAATTTGTGATTTTTATAATCAATATGGTTTAGTGTTTCTAGGTACATTATTATAGAATTTTTAAAGTGGACTGAATGTGTTTTGTGAAATAAATACAGCCACATAATCTGTGTAATCCCAACATTAGAAGACGGCCAAGACTTCTGGTCTAACTATTTTCAGATCATTATTATTTTTCAATTTGCGCAGCAGAAACTGGATGAGTAGATTTACAGTCCTTTTCCTGCCTAGCCAATGTGCTTCCTGTTGACTTGAGTATCCTAGTTTCTGTGGGAAGTTGCTTTTAACAGGAAAAGCTTTCTATATTGTGGAGCATTTTAAAGCTCTGAATTTCCATCCTTTGTTATACAGAAGGTTCAAACACATGTTTGCTGTGGTTTATATTACTGTACCACTCATACCCCACTCCTTTGCCCATCCCTGTTACTCAGCTAATGCATGTTTGCATGTTCCCAACCCCTCCAAGACTTACCTTGTGTATAAGCCAAATTGTTGCTCAATTCAGCCAACAGATATCCCATTCAAACTGGGAGGGAGAGAACGTTACGTTTTAAAATTTTTGCATAATTTTATTGTATTCCGAAGACACGGAAGTTGGATTTAAATATTTAATTAGATATATTTGCTATTAGAAATAGACGTTTCATCCATCAATGTTTATATATGAATGCAACATTTTTTTGATGGTTTATGAAACCACTGATCTGGTAGATTTAAACATTAATGGGTAAAAACTGCCCCTGCACAACTATAGCTACTTTGTCCTTATATGCTGCAATCTGTGGGATTTTTATGCATCCAATTCTTTAGAGTTTCTGATATTTGGTTTAAGCAAAGCAAATGTTTCACTATCTTTGATTGTTCTCATAAAAGTGATATTTGCTGTACATTTCATAAACTTAAATTTCATAACAATTACATTTTCCAAAAGTCTTCAAAACTGATGGTTTGTTTGAAGCACTTCATTTTTGCACTTTTGGTTGGCCTTTCAGCACAGCAATCCTACCTGCTACCCCTGGTACAACAGTCATCTCCGCTCATTCAAATCCCAATCCCGGTTGCTCAAGCATAGATGACAAAAAAAAAGTGACCTCACGGTTCACCGCCAACTGCGTTGTTGAGCATCGTTGTAGCTATCGCCACTCCCTCTCAAGCCAAAACCATCTTCTACTCGCAGGTCATTCTCGAGGCCAAAAATGACCCCAAAATCCTGTTCTCCTCTACAGAGGACCTCTTCCAAGCCCCTTCTCATTCCTCACTTCTGATGCCAAGTGCGAAGAGGTCCTAAGTTTCTTTAGCACTAAAATGGACAACATCCACCTGGCTGCCTCCTCCCACCCCAAAGGCCTACCACCACTTACCTCTTCCCCACCCCCATGCCTCCTTATCACTCTCTCCTACTATGGCCCCACCCTTTGCTCCCATGTCTCCCTCCTCCCTTTCCTCCACCATCATCCAGATGAAGCCCACCACCAGCTGCCTCGACCGTGCCCCCCACCCCTTCCCCCCCCCCACCCAGCTTCTGATCTGGCCAACTCCCCCTCTGCCCATTGCTGACTATCACAATCAACCAGTCCCTCTCCTCAGGCTGTGTCCTATCCCCCTCACTCACTTGTCATCACTCCTCTTATATTAAAAAAAAACTACCTTTGATTCTTGCAACCTCACAAACTTCAGACCCATCTCAAACCTGCCCTTCCTGGCCAAAGTTTTGGAATGCATCATTGCAAATTGACTTCGCTCACACGTCTCCCTCCACTCACTTCTTGAACCCTTCCAGTCCAGTTTTCGCTCTGCTCACTGCACAGAGACAGCGCTCATCAAAGTAACATTAGATCCTCTCGCTCTGTAACCAGGGCTCCCTCTGCCTCCTCATTCTCCTGGACCTCTCCACCACATTTAGCAGTCGATCACACCATCTTTCTCCAATACCTCTCCTCCCTCATCCACCTTAGCGGGCCTGCACTTCCATGGTTTGCATCCTGCTTATCAAACTGCCAACAATACATCTCGCAATTTTTTTTTTCCCTCTCACCTCTGCCCAGTCACCTGCGGAGTTCCTCAAGGCTCCATCCTTGGCCCCCTTTTCCTTATCAACATGCTTCTTCTCGGCGATGTCATCCGCAGACATGGGGCCAACTTCCACATGTATGCAATGACACCCAAATCTACTTATATTTCTCCAGCTGCGACTCCCAGTCCGCTGATGTTCTGTCAGCTTATTTGACGGACATCGAGGCCTGGATGAGCGCAAACTTCCTGCAGCTGAATGTTGGCAAGGTCGAAGCCATACTTCTTGCTCTTGTCAACTTTCTCCTGCGGGTCTGAACTCCTCAACCTCCCTGGGCTCTCTCTCAGACTCACCAAACCTATGCAACTTCGGTGTCAGATTCAATCCCCAGCTTTCCGTTCTATCCCATATCCATTCCCTGACCAGGATTGCCTTTTTCCACCTCTGCCACATTGCCCGCCTCCATCCAAACTTCACAACCAATGCAGCTGAAATCCTCGTTCAAGCGTTCGTCACTTCCCGGCTGGACTATTCCAATGCCCTCCTTGCTGGTCTCCCCAGCTCCATCATACACAAAATTCAGTTAATTAAAATTTCCGCTGCCTAGATAATCACCCGCACAAAACTCAGGCCCTCATCACACGAATCCTTGCCAGGTTCCACTGGTTCCCAATCACCGAACTGATTGATTTCAAGATCCTCTCGCTCGTTTTCAAATTCCCTTCATGGCCTCGCACCTCCTTACCTATCTGATCTGCTACCCCCCTCTCCACCACCCGCTGCCTCCGCTCGTCTGGCTCCGGCCTCCTGTTTGGCCCTCGTCCCCTCCGCTCCACCATCGGTGGCCGTGCTTTATGCCTCAAACTTTAAATCTCTTTCAATCCCTTCGCCTTGCCCCATCTCTCCCAACTTCAAATCATGCCTAGAAGCCTTTTTTGATTGTGTTTGCAGTAACCTTCCTCTCCCTCTGGCTCAGTGTCAGACTCTGCCACTGTCGAGCACTTTGGGACGCTACCCTATGTGAAGGACGCTTTATAAATGCTAGGTGTTGTTTTATATTGGAGTACAATGGAAAATGTCATGCATGTAATCATTTTTGAATGTTTATTTAATTGTTAATATTAATATTTCTCACACTGGATTCCATGAAATGATTGTAATTTGGTTTATGCCTTCTATTTTGAAGATATGTTGAAGATCACAAACTTGAGGATAAAGTATACCAAGCTCCATACTCTGGGCGATAATTTGTTGGATTCCCGAATAGAAATTAAAGAGAAGTATTACTATGCCATCTATGACATGGTAGTTCGTGGCAACTGTTTCTGTTATGGACATGCTAGTGAGTGTGCTCCTGTTCATGATTCAGATGATGATTATGATGAAGATGTTGAAGTGGAAGGAATGGTAAGTACAAAAATGCTGACTGTTAGACATGGGTGTAAGGGGTAGTATTTTCTCAATGTGACGATGGATTGGTCAGTAAATTTACCCCACAGTTTCTTTGCTTTGGAGTTATCAAAATATATTTTATTTCCTATACTAAACATGATGTACTTATTGCTATCCACCCTTGCTCTTTCTTCTTTATTGTCAGTTTTCTCCCAACTTAAAAGTGCTGACTCTTTCAACTAGCATAGGATTGTATAGATGCCAGTACTTCGCTCAAATCATTTTTTTTTATCTGTGTATCCAGACAGAGAATGTTGCCAGCAACCATTGCAACTGAGTTAATTCTGCCTTGCCCAATGTTCACACACTTGCATTGGTCTGTAAGGGATAGCTGCCTGGTTTATTGATTCCTACCCCCACTCTAGCTTAGGGGCCACTGAAGCCAATTGTAGCAACCTTTTTTTAACTCCCATGTCCCCCCCCCCACCCAATGTAGTAGTACATTGAGCTATGTGTTTCTAGGTAGACTACAATAGAATTCAAATGGAACATATTTCATCGGCAATTTTGGGCTTCCTACAAAATGTGTGGGGCGGTGGGAGGGCAGCGAAGTTTATTTAAATCTTAAATCTAGATTACAGTCCTCTCCACAGTACATGTTGCTACATAAATGAAACCAGATGAAAAGTTTCTCTGACCTGGCCATGCTATTTCCTGTGACATGTAAAATATTTTGGCTGTTTGAAGCAAAGCAGTGGGAGAACTTGTGAACAAACTCTTAGAAGCTATAGTAGTGTACAGTTTCCTACTGCAGAGCTTGTATTACAGTTTAGGAATACTTTAGGAATGCTGTAATTGTTTTGCTAAAGCTTTTTGTAAACTTTTTTGTCTTCTCATTGTTTGTCTATTTCTTGATTTGGACACCACCTGTAACTGCAAAGGCAATGTACTTCTTCCCAGCCCTCTCCTCCCCAATCTCCATAAATGCCATTTAGAACCAGCTGGAAAGAAGGATATTAGGAAGATTAGTCTGGGAAGAAGCTGTCTTGGTTCCCTCCCTGTGAGAGCGCCTGCCATAATTGTTAGCAGATGAGGAACCTACTGATTTGGATAATGGACCATACACTTCTGTAGTAATAATAATCCTTGCCTTTGATATAGCACTTTATGACATCGTTGAGACGTCTATAAAGCGCTTCACAGAATATACTGTAAAGTGAATTGACTGTATATTTTGTTGGTGAAATGCAGCAGCCAATTACGTACAGCAGTGTCCCACAAATGGTCGTGGATTGAGTAACCAAATTATTTTTTTGAAGCGATTGTTACCCCTGGAAACGTGATCCGACAATCGACTAACAACTGAGCTGCTATTTACTGCTAGGTAAACAGGCGTGTGGAGTAAGGAAGCTTGCCTAAGGTTTTGTCCTGCCTCTCGATCCCAAGTCCTCTCACTTGCGAGGCCAGCGCTCTAACCACTGAGCCACAGGACTCCATACTGCAGCACTGCTGTACACCATAAATTCAATCCCAATATTATGTTTTTGAAAGTTTGTTTATGATAGAAAGAAATCTAGAGAAAGCAATTTGAGTTGTGCACAAGTTTGATATTTATAGGATTATTCTGAAATAAGCCTACAATGATGCTATTTTCAGGAAAGATTCCTTAATCACAGAGGAACTAGCCTGAAATACCAATTCCATTTTGGGAATTCAGGGGAAATTTTTGTTTTGCAACAGGATATGCACAATGTATTTGTAATGCATCTTGAAATGCACTTACACACTTACAAAATGGTCAATTGGGGTACTAATAAATGAATAAATAAATTTCAAGCTTGGCGATAGCGATGGAAATACGATAAATAAGAAGCAGAGGTGAACCAACTAAACCACGTTGTGTTTTCTAGGTACATGGGAGATGCGTGTGTCGGCACAACACTAAAGGTTTGAACTGTGAGCTGTGTCAGGACTTCCATCATGATCTATCTTGGAGGCCTGCTGAAGGACGCAACAGCAATACATGTCAAAGTGGGTCAATAGAATAAGCATTTCTAAAATATTGAATAGATATTAATGCCTTGGCGTTTGGGTTTTAATTTCTACATACAATTTCTAACTTTCTCTAACTGCAGAATGGCATGAGGGCAATGGTTGGAGTTGCAATTCAAGAGTAATAAGCCTCCAATAAAACAGGAAACTCTTTTACTGATTTCTTTTCAATAGATTGTCATCTGAATAGGCCAATCTCTGGTAACTAAAAAGCAATTAAAACTCTGGTGCACTTTTCTATTTTAGTGCCACTAAACAACAACAAAATTACATTTATAGAGCGCCTTTCAAGTTGGGAGGATGTCCCAAGGCGCTGGACAGTCGAGGGCCAGGACCCGAGCATGGGGGAGGGGTGGGGGAGGGAAGGCAGAGAGGTGGGAGGGCGATCGAAGACACGATCGAAGTGGAGGATCTTGAGACCGGCATTGGAGAAGGCAAGGGAGGAAGCGAAGCAAAGAGACTGTGGGATTGAGATAGATAGAACCACTTTTCTATTTTGGTGCCAATAAACTGGACTACTAATGATTTTCTCATGGTCAAACGTGCATTATCACTTAGTAAATGAGCATTTTATATCAAATCAGAACCTGTTGTTTGTACCAGTTGACAATAATGTTACTTTTATATACAAAGCGCTACACCAGTATGATCCAATGAATCTGCATTGTATATGTAAATCGGAAATTTCTGTTTTTTTGTTTTTTAGAGTGCAACTGCAATGGACACTCTGAGAAATGTCACTTTGACATGGCTGTCTACTTGGCCTCTGGTAATGTTAGCGGGGGTGTTTGTGATGACTGTCAGAACAATACAATGGGTCACCACTGTGAACAATGCAAACCTTTCTACTACCAGCACCCGGAACGTAGTATTCGTGCTCATGACATTTGTGAACGTGAGTTGTATAATTTGATACTCGAAATTTGTGACAAGTCGTAGAATTGTAGATTTATACAGCACAGGAGGCCATTCGGCCCATTGTGTCTGTGCCGGCTCTTTGAAAAGAGCTATCCAATTCAATCCCACTCCCCCGCTCTCTCCCCATAGCCCTGCAAACTTGTCCTCCCCAAATAATTATCTAGTGTCACTTGTCTTGCAAAGTATTCCAGCAGAAACATTCCAACAACATTAGATTAGTTTGCGTTTTAATCTGATGGCATCATACTTGGCAAGGAAACCATGAATGGCAAGGATACGTTTTAAATGCTACTGTACGAACAAAATGTTTGGACATTCAGCATAGTGCCCTTAATATACATTATAGCACAGTAATAGGGGCGTCTCTACAATCTCAACCAGTATTATAAAGGGGAGCAATCACCAGTTAGCACTTTCACATTCATTGTGTAAAAATCCACCCAGCTTCCCAAGTTGAAAATGGCCTTTAAATCACTACTGTTGTGACTTCCTGAGAAATGAGTAGTGGTAGAAAGTTACGGTGTAGAATTGACGAGAAGAAAAGTAGTCCCTTTTTTTTTTGCATACACACAACATCGTTACTGAAGTGAGACAATACCATGTAAAGCAAGCCAGTTTTCTGCACAGATTTTAGATAACTAAATGTGTTGCAAGGTTCTATTGTGACTAGTTTTTGGTTTTAAAAAAATTACAATTTTAAGATTTACTAATTTATACTAATATGTAAAATTGAAACAATCTTCGAGGAGATGCATGGACTATAAACCATTTTCAAAGTATTTGAGTTCTAATATGTACTTTATAAACTGAAAAGTGAACAAATTATGTTTTGACATTTGATTGGATTAACTCAGTTGAATGAGGCTTGCATTTTGTTATTTGTGGGGTATGACTTGGGGTGCTTCCCTTAAGATTGGTATTGAATTTAGAAAAAGGAAAGATCTTTTTAAATGTTTTAAATATTGATTGATAGGTCCTGTTTTTATGTTTTGATTTTATTTTATGCAGCATGTAACTGTGACCCTGACGGATCACTGCAAGGAGGTGCCTGTGACCGCTATACAGACCTGTCAACTGGTCTCATTGCTGGACAGTGCCGCTGTAAGGCAAATGTTGAGGGTGAACGCTGTAATCTGTGCAAAGAGAGCTACTATGGGCTAAGTGAAGATAATCCAGTGGGATGCAGCTGTAAGTAGCTAACCATTTTCTGAAAACAAAAATGGACAGTTTTCCATGAGTGTGCTGCCTGCAGTTTCCCTCTTTTTTTGTCTGTCTCTCTCCCTAAACTTTGTGGTAATGTTATATTTTTTAACAAGCCCAGCTGATCTGAGCAGAACTGTCCATGTGTTGCGTATGCCTGTTATCTTAATGTGTGAATCGGACTTGGGTGTCGCTGATCAGATTTCTGTAGTAGACGGGCTTGAAAACCCACTTTACATACAATCAACAACAACAACAAAATTACATTTGTAGAGCGCCTTTCACGTCGGGAGGACGTCCCAAAGTGTTGGACAGTCAGATGTCAGGGCCCGAGCATGGGGGAGGGGTGGGGTAGGGGTGAGGAAAGGCAGAGAGGTGGGAAGGAGACCGAAGGCACAATCAAAGAGAAGGGTCTTGAGACTGGCCTTGAAGGATGCAAGGGAGGAAGCGAGGCGAGGGTTGGAGTTCCAGAGGGTGGGGGCAGAGAGGGTGAAAGCCCGGCTACCGATAGTTGGGCGGGAGACATGGAGCCTGATTAGCGGAGGGAGCGGGCAGGTTGGTAGGGAGTCAGCAGGTCAGAGAGATAGGAGGGGGCAAGGCCATGGATGGCCTTAAAGGTGAGGACGATGATCTTGAACTCGCTTCTCTGGGGGATGGGGAGCCAGTGGAGTCGGGCGAGGGTGGGAGTGATGGGGTCGCGGAGCCTGGTGTACGAGAGTACACGAGCTGCAGAGTTTTGGATGATCTGCAGCTTGTGAAGGGAAGCGTTTGGAAAGCCAATGAGGAGGGAGTTCCCGTAATCAAGCCTTGAGGCGACGAATGTGTAGGTGTGGGTTTCGGCAGCCTGAGGGGTGAGGCAGTGGTGGAGTCTGGCAATGTTGCGGACACACACACTCAAAAGCATAGCTAGAGTCCTTTAATAAATTAATGAGTCAACCAAACTTCAATGACCTCATCATTCACGGTATTTGCTTTATACAGAAAAAAAAATCCCTTTTGTACATACATGATTGCAAAGTTCAACCGCTCAGCACATGAGTCACGAATGGAATGAAAAATTGAAACGCTTTTGTCTCCACCAAAAATGTCTCTTTTTAAAATGGCTTGCAAGAAGAAGGAGAATGTGTTTCAATGAACACATTCTGGTTCTGTATCTATTACTTGTTGCATATCTTTCTTTCTGTTTTAACAATGTGGGGGATGGGGGAAGAAACTTGTGGCAGAAAAATATGGTAAAGAATAGATTCCATAGGTTGTTACCGTATCCATCATGTCAAAGTGAGATTATTTATCACTAGGCTTACTTGGTAATGTTTTTGCATTTCTAATCACCATGATTTCTCCTCCAAGTTCTCACTTCTACGACTGAGAACTACTTTGACTCCTTTTTTTAAAAAAACTCCTAATCCAAATTCACATTTATTAGCTACTCAACTTGTTTATGGGATGCTGCTGGTACAGCTGAGTATTGCATTTGTCTATGTAACACTCACTTAATTTTCTAATCAATTTGCATTTACATAGCAATTCAAACACTAGGTTATTATTCTTGGGTTATGGATTCCAGTTGCTTGTTCAAGTGGTTATTATCCATATGCAAGCCTTCTTCTTTGCATATTGGCAGCATATTTGACTGTGCAGAGATCATGATTAATCTGACGTCAAATAGCCTGCCATCACCAGTATCTAAACTCATACATGAAAAGTGGACTCAAGGTATTGGTATTACCCAAAGTATTGGAGGACACTCGTGGAACTGTACTACAAATGAAGAAATAAGTCAAATAATTCTGGAGAAGAGAAAAAAGTGAGTGGGGAGGAGGGAGAAATTAAAAACAAATTGATAGTTAACTGTTTCTGACTTTGTTTTGCTTATTAGTAAATATAGACATTAATAATACTGTTCCTCTTGGAGTTTCATATCAGTTCTTGACAAAATGTGGGAGAAATTATTTTACTGGGTATCACTTGAACACAAATTATTTTGTGATTTACAAATAATCCTCCTGTAAAAGTCTTGAGCTAAATTTTGTTTTTCCTGTTTTGGTCATGCAGCATGTACCTGTAACCATTTGGGCACTCATCCAGGAGGAAATCCATGTGATGATCAAAAAGGAAATTGCTACTGTAAACGTTTGGTAAAAGGAAGGAACTGTGATCAGTGTCTGGTAAGAAAACTGCATATACTGAAATAATTCTACTGAAGTAAAACTGAGGATATGTCATCTGTCATGCAAAGGCTAGTTACTTTGGAAGAGAATTCGGATGTCTTCAACATCTAGAAAATGGTTTGCTGTTTGAATTATTACCAAGCAAGCTTTTGTGTGAGCTCAGAAGATTTGCTTATGATAAATAATAGTTATTAAACAAATGTTTGTTTTCTTCTGTTTTACATGACCCATATTGCAAACTATTCTCGGCTAAGAAGACTTTGTGAAAATTATTTAACCAATGAGGATGATATTCTTGGTCTGAAGTTTTGCTGCTCCCACATTAGCTTCACAATCATATCCTGGAATTCTCTCTCTCTGCTTACTTGGCATAATTACTTTGTTCGGCTGTGTTTTCCTTTTTTTAAAATATTAGTTCAACCCGAATATGCAAAGCCTTTCCTACTTACCTCCTTGATTTTTGTATGACCTGTGCGGGTGCGTTACATGGCCATGGTCTCTGCTGCCTCATTCAAGAGAATGGAGGTTCTATTCCAGAATGAAATATTTTGTAAGGCAGAACCTGAGCAGGCCACAAACTTGTGCAGTGCCCCCGTGAGTTTTCTTATTCTCCATCGATGGAATATTCATTTCTTTGTAGCGGGTCAACTCTTTTTTGAAGGATGTGGAAAACCTTACCAAAGGTAGATAAGCTAATCATGCTCAATTAAAGCCTTAAATTGGTGATGCTTGACAATGTAGGAACTGAATAAAGCATCGCTAAACAGAGGTTTGCTGAAACATTTTTTTTATGGTTTGTTCTTTCGCCTCTTGTTTTGAGAAAGTTCTTAGAATTATTTGTTTTTGAACAGCAACAACATGGCTTTTGTGTATAATGAGAGTATATGCTTCCAGCTATATAAAGTGCTTCAGTACATTGATTTGTTTGCTTTCTCACGTAAACTTAGTGGCGCGTGCACAACTAATTTCACTTTAATGACTTGCCTTTGGTCATGTGATGTTAAAGACATAATGGTATATTGTTCTACAGCCTCAACACTGGGGACTAAGCAATGATTTGGATGGATGTCGCCCTTGTGACTGTGACCAGGGGGGATCTTACAACAATGAGTAAGGGCAGCTTCTATAATCTTTCTTCAAAGCTTACTGCACTAAAACTGAGTCAACACTGTTGCTTGCAACCATTTTAACACAATCATTGAAGAGATTTGATCAAAAGCAGCTTTTGCAACTCAGTCCAGCGGTTAGATACTCCTAGACCATCAGTTATCTGTCTCGAATGCCTTAATGTATTCTGTGTTTAAAGCTTATCTATGGCTTTCTGAAGCAGTCTGTTCCATATTATCACAACCCTTTATGTGAAGAATGTTTTTCTGGGGTCGCTTTTTGCCTTCTTAGTTTAAGAATTTCCTAATTAAAGTGAAGTAATTTCTCACTTTGTCAAAAATCCTTCCTTTTTTTGAACACCTCAATCTAATGAGCCCATAACCTCATGAACTCTGAATATAACCCTAGTTTACTCAGCCTTTCATGACGGTTAATCATTTTCATCCCAGGTATCATTTTGGTTAATTGTCTATGGACTTCCTCCAAGGCCAGTGGAGTCCTGTAGCTCAATGATTAGAGCACTTGCCTCACAAGTGAGAGGACCTAGGTTTGATTCCCAGCAGGGCTAAATGTTGGCCAAGTTTCCTTATTCCACATGCCCCTGTTTACCTTGCAGTAAGTAGGAAGCCGGTTGTTAGTCGATTGGTGGATTGCTTTTCCGGGGGTACTAATTCCTTCAAAATAAATTAAAATAATTTGGTCAATCAATCCACGACTGTTTGTGGGATGCTGCTGTGCGCAATTGGCTGCTGTGTTTCGTCCACAAAATATACAGTCAATTCACTTTACAGTATATTCTGCAAAGCACTTAGAGACGTCTGGAAGATACAATAAGGCGCTATATCAAATGCAAGGATTATTATTATTATCTTTTCTGAAGTTTTGTGCTGAAACTGAACATAATAGTCCAAATGAGATCTGACTTATGATTGGTTCTATGTTGTTTGTTTGTGCTGCCTGCTCTTTAGAGGAGAATCACAGCCTTTGCAACTTTCAATACAGGTATTTTCACATTAATTTGAAAAGGGGCCATTGATTCTTGTTTTGCCTTGAAGTTGTTCTGCAGAGACGGGGCAGTGTAAGTGCAAACACCACATGGTTGGACGCCGCTGCAATGAAGTCGAGTCTGGGTTTTACTTTATTGCACTGGACCACTACACTTATGAGGCAGAGGAGGGGAACTTTGGACCTGTAAGTTCATTTTGATGGGGAATTGAGCTGGAAGGGCATTTGTCTTTGCACTCTTAAACATTTGTGACCATTACTTGCAGGGAACAACTATTGTACAGCGAAAATATCCAGATGATCGTTCTCCAACCTGGACTGGGATTGGATTTGTACGAGTTCCTGAAGGAGCATATGTGGAATTCTACATAGATAATCTTCCATACTCCATGGAATACGATATAGTGATTCGCTATGAGCCACAGGTTATTTTCCAAAACTACCTGAAATAGAAACAATTGCTGAAAATGCACAGTAGGCAATTCATCATAAAATGAAGGATAGATTGACCCTGATAAATGGTTATAATTTCAACATTAACCTTTTCCAAACTGCTTGTTGACATCCTATCTATTTTCAGCATTTCTGTTTCTAATTCAGATTTACTGCCTTCATAATTTTGCCTTTTACTTGAAATCTTGTTATAAATGTATAATGTGTTGATTTCTATTCAGCTGCCAAAGAACTGGGAAGAGGCAAAAATAACTGTCTTCCGCCCTAGTAAGATTCATACAAGTAGTCGATGTGGGAATACAATTCCTGACGATGACAACCAATTGGTTTCTCTTCCTTCAGGATCAAGGTTGGTACAACTTGAGTCCTGCACTGATTCGTCTGTAGTTTTTTCAATTAAACATTAAAAAAAGAGGAAATGAGCCATTAGAGCAAGACTGTATCTAAATCACTTCAACATAAGTTAATTTGAAAATTGAAGGCTGAGTAGGATTTTACGGTGTTGAGCTAACTGTGTTGTGTTGCTCAAAAATGTTCCTCTAGGTATGTTGTTCTACCTCAGGCTGTATGCTTTGAAAAAGGACTAAACTACACTATCCGTTTAGAATTACCACAATACTCTGCTAACGATGAAATAGAAACTCCTTACACACTCATAGATTCGGTACGTATATTCTGCAATTATTTAGCAGTGCATGGTAATGGGACCAAACAATTTCACTTGTTAATAAATTCTGGGAAGTTATTTTACATTGAGTAATTTTTGCTATGGATTTATAAGATTAAAATTGGACTTTGGTTCATGGAAGTGAAGAGATTACTGCTTCAGCAATTAGTATAAAGTAACTCCCTGGAGTACTTTTTGAACTTTCTAATTAAAGGTTTTGTATATTATGCTTGCACATATGTATTTCTTCTTAACAATGGTATGCATTCATTTATAGAATGGGTCTTTCGGTGCAGTATTTACTAATCCACAAAATTAAAATGTTAACTTTATACTTCATCATAAAATTTTGAGCGTGGTGAGTTTTTATTGGGGAGGTTGCATTATTGGAGATGCTGTGCTTTGGTTGAGACGTTAAATTGAGATCCCATCTGCCTGTTCAGGTGGACGTTAAAGATCCCATGGCACTTTTCGAAAAGAGAAGGGAGTTTCTTCTTGTCCTGGCCAACAAATTCCCCAAATAAAATTGGTCACTCTTTCCATGGCTGTTGGTGAGACATTGCTGTGCGTAAACTGCCTGTTGTGTTTTGCCCACAAAATACAGAACCAATCCACACTACACTATACACCGTGAAGCGTTTTGGGATGTGATAAAGCCCTATATCAAATCCAAGGATTATTATAATTTTTTATTTTCATTGTAACTTTGGTTATTATCTTCTTTACAAGCTAACACCCATTACCATTGATCCTTGTTACAGCTTGTGCTCATGCCCCACTGCAAATCACTGCAGATATTCTCTGCAGGAGAAACGAGTGATGGCCTCACAAACAGAATCTGGGAAACCTTTCAGCGGTACCGTTGCCTAGAGAATAGTCGGAGCATTACTAAGGCTCACATGACCGATGTCTGTAGGAACATCATCTCAAGTATTTCTTCAATAATCCATGATGGTGCCTTGTGTATGTATTATCAGTGATATTATTTTGTTTAGGCCCTTTGTTGATGTTTTGTATGTATATTTTGCACAAAAGTATTTAAAATGGATGTGTGAGCAAAACATTATACTGTGCCTTTCAAGTGGGATAAACCCCTCAAACATAATGGGGAGCAGTGAGGATAGGAAGAAGAATTTCAGGATGTTGACCAAAGACATGGTCAGATTGATAGTTTTTCGGAATTCTTTTGTTAAGATGAGGGATGGAATAAGCCAAAATTATTTTGAGAGAGGTGTCCAAAGATTTGCAGAGTCTGACTTCCAAGTCATTGGGTTACGGTGACACCACATCCTGTGTATTGCACACATGTGCAAGAAGCACCACAATGTCATTTCCTGTGGAATTAGCACTGAATTCGCCGCTGACATCTTGTCATGAAGGAAGTGACATCAGTGGTGTTTCTTGCATGTTCTATGCATGGGTACATGCAGGAAGTGATATCAGTGTTGGCCTGACTCCTGAAAGGCAGCTTTTTTTTATGCTTGTTGGATGATCAGTGAGCCATTGGGGGCAGTTAACCATGTTAAAATTAGGTTCCTTTGTATTAGGTTATATGAGGCTTCAATAAAGTAGCCTCAGAATGAGAGAAACTGTGAACATGATGGCCAGTTTTCACCTACAGATGGATTGGACTCAACATTATTTTCAGGGTCGTTCTGTGGGAATTGTTCTTATCAAAACAAAAAGTGAGACATGACTTACACCATTGGTAGAAAGTACTAATGATGAAAAAGCTCAGAAGATTTTATGGGCATGTTATTCTGTAAGCCACAAGGGGAAGTCATCCTGTTTCTTTAAAAGAAGTATGGGTAATGCTTCATGGAATTATTTGTGGGAGATATGCAAATTAGTATAGTATAGTATAATGAATATAATTTTCATAATATAATATATGATTTTCAGATTGTATGTGATCAGGTTTATATCCAAAGGTTCTCAGCATCTGGTCAGCTAACACATCCATTTTGTGTTAGTTGACCAGAGTTTGGTTAGAAAGCGAATGGGCCTTGAGAGGGAGTATAGCTATGAGAAGTCCATTAAGTTCCCTTCTCTACATTATTAGTCCCATCAGAAATAGTGAACTGTATCCTTAAGAGATGATGGGATATCTGGTTTAAGGTTTGTATTGGCCTGAACATTTTTTTGGCCATACATTCTTGTAATAAACCAAGTTAAATAATTTGGATTAGAACATATTGTCCAGGAGCTATTGTATCTAGTGTGTATAGATCCCTTTGGGATCGGTGATGGAAATTTTACTTCATTTGTTCAACTCCCTCCAAAGATAAATTTTACTTTGTTGCCCAGCTGGAATTGTTGAGCACTTTGGGACGTGAACAGCACTATCTATACAAGTGTAAATTGTATTAACAATTGTAAATTTCTCATGGTGATACATATTTTATCTAGCTCACGGGAAACAGTGCAGTTGATGGACAAAAAGTTCACTCTGTGCTTGTTCTAATGATTCTGTGTTTTATTCTAATGATGTAGTTCTAGGCATTTGCCTACCAATACTCAAAGTCACACCACTCTACATTATATTCTGTGAAGGGCATTGAGAAGTTTTGATGATGTGATAAGGTGCTACATCAAATGCAAGGATTATTTTACAATTACATTTTTTCCTTCAGTGATGTTGCTTTCTTGAATACTTCTTATTCTCTCCAATTTCTAGCTTGTCAGTGTGACCCTCAAGGCTCTCTCAGCTTAGTTTGTGATCCCAGTGGTGGACAGTGCCAATGTCGCTCCAATGTAGTTGGAAGAAACTGTGACCGATGTATTCCTGCAACCTACAGCTTTGGTCCAAATGGCTGCAGACGTAAGTGTAAACTGATTAGTTTGTGTAATTGGGGGAATTCTCACTGTGCACTGCATTGTTCCAAAAATTGCACTTCTTGTAAGACCTTTTCATGTAGCATAATAATAATAATAATAATAATAATAAGGGGATAAGGGGAAGTTTAGAGCAAGGCTAACAACCTTTTGGCATCAAATCAACAGAAGAAGTGCAGGTTTGGGGAGGACAATTTTGCAGGGCTATGGAGAGAGCGCAGGGGAGTAGGATTGATTTGGACAGCTCATTTCAAAGATCTGGCACAGACACAATGGGCCGAATGGCCTCCTTCTGTGCTGTATAATTCTATGATACTGATAAGTTTGTAAAAGGCAGTTTTAGTACCATCACCACCAAGCAGGAAGTATGTATTTATATAGGAAGTAATTAACCCGATGCAACAACAACAACAACAACAACAAGATTCCATTTATAGAGCGCCTTTCACGTCAGGAGGACGTCCCAAGGCGCTGCACAGTTGGGTCATGACCCGAGCAGGGGGGAAATGGTCAGGGTGAGGGGAGGGAAGGGAGGGAGAGAGGAGGGGGGAAATGGTCAGGGTGAGGGGAGGGAAGGGAGGGAGCGAGGAGGGGGGAAATGGTCAGGGTGAGGGGAGGGAAGGGAGGGAGAGAGGAGGGGGGAAATGGTCAGGGTGAGGGGAGGGAAGGGAGGGAGCGAGGAGGAGGAAGAGAGTCGAGAGGGGAGCTGAAGGCACGGTCAAAGAGAAAGGTTTTGAGACCGGCCTTGAAGGAGGAAAGGGAGGAAGCAAGGCGAAGGCACTGGGGGATGGAGTTCCAGAGCCTGGGGGCTGAGAGGCTGAAGGCCCGACCACCGATAGTAGGGCGGTTGGGGCGGGGGACGTGGAGCAGACCGGAGCCAGAGGAACGGAGGGTACGGGCAGGTAGGTAGGGGGATAGTAGGTTGGAGAGGTAGGAGGGAGCAAGGCCGTGAATGGCCTTGTAGGTGAGGATGAGGATCTTGAAATCAATCCTCTGGGGGATGGGGAGCCAGTGGAGGCGAGCGAGGGTGGGAGTGATGTGGTCGCGAAGCCTGGTGCGGGACAGTACACGAGCTGCAGAGTTCTGAATGACCTGCAGCTTGTGGAGGGAGGTGGCGGGAAGGCCGGCGAGGAGAGAGTTCCCATAGTCCAGCCTTGAGGTGACAAAGGCGTGAACCAGGGTTTCAGCGGCGTGAGGGGTGAGGTAGTGCCGTAATCTGGCGATATTCCGGAGGTGATGGAAGGCGGTGCCAGTTGTGGTGCGGATGTGAGGGAGAAAGGACAGCTCAGGGTCGAACAAAACGCCGAGGTTCCTGACTGGCTTTGAGAGGTGGAGAGTGCAGCCTTGGATGCTGATGGTGTCAGCGCCTGAGGTGCGGAGGCGCTGACGTGAGCCAATCAGGAGGGCCTCGGTTTTTCGCACGTTGAGCTGAAGAAAGTTGTCTCTCGTCCAGGACTCGATGTCGGACAGGCAGGCTGTCAGGACATCGGTGGTCGTGGAGTTGAGAGTAGAGGAGGAAAGGTAGAGTTGGGTGTCATCCGCATACATGTGGAAGTTAACCCCATGTTTGCGGATGATGTCACCAAGGGGGAGCATATAGAGGGTGAAGAGGAGGGGACCGAGGACAGAGCCCTGAGGGACACCACATGAGACAGTACGGGGGGTGGAGGAGAAGCCATTCGTTGAGACGAAGTGAAGACGGTGGGAAAGGTAAGAGCTAAACCATTCAAGGACAGTGCCTTGAAGGTTGAGGTGGGAGGACAAGCGGTGGAGTAGGATAGCGTGGTCGACCGTATCGAATGCTGCCGATAGGTCGAGGAGGACGAGGAGACAGAGGGAGCCCTGGTCACAGATGGTCAGGATATCATTGGTGACCTTGACCAGGGCAGTTTCTGTGCTATGAGCAGCACGGAAACCTGACTGAAGGGGTTCGAAAAGAGAATGGGTGGAGAGGAAAGAGCGCAGTTGGGAGGCGACAACTCTTTCCAAGACCTTGGAGAGAAAGGGGAGGTTGGAGATGGGCCGGTAGCTTGATAGCTGCGACGCATCAAGGGAGGGTTTTTTCAGGGTGGGCGTGATGATGGCAGTTTTTAATGGAATGGGGACAGAGCCAGAGGAGAGGGACAGGTTTATGATGTCAGTGATGTGTGGGGCAAGAAAATGGAGCTGGGAGATAAGGAGTGGAGTGGGGATGGGGTCAAGGGAGCAGGTGGTTGGTTTTAGGGATAGGATGAGTTCAGTGACAGAGGGTGGGGAAACGGGTACGAAGGTGTGTAGGGGAGGATGGGTAGGAGTCGGAGTGTGGGAGGGAAGGGGTGGGTGGTGGGTGGAAGTTGGAGGGGAAGTGACCGCGGAGCGGATTCCCTTGATCTTGGATTCAAGGAAATCCAGCATCTCCTCGCAGTGAAGGTTGGAGGAGATGACCTGCGCGGGGTGGCGGGGGGGACGGAGGAGTCGGGATGTGGTGGAAAACAGTAGCCTGGGGTTGTTCTTCGCCTCCAGGATTATCCTGGAGTAGAAGGACGACTTGGCCGAGGCTAGAGTGGAGCGGTAAATTTTGAGGAGGTCCAGCCAGATTTGTCGGTGGACCGTTAGGCCAGATTTGACAAAGGTGCGCTCAGCAGCCCGCACCTGGCATTTCAGTGAGCGGAGGTGGGTGGTGTACCAGGGGGAGGAGCGGGAGTAGGAGACAGTGCGGGAAGTGATGGGGGCAAGAGTATCGAGTGTGGAGGAGAGGATATTGTGGAGGAGGGAGAGAGGAGAAGAGGGGTCGGTGAGGGTTGAAGGCCAGAGGGAGAGGAGTTCAGAGGACTCCAAGGCATCGGTTAGGGATTGTGGGGGTAACTTCTTCCAAGGGCGGTAGAAGATGGTGGTGGGTCTGGTGGAGGTGGGGAGGGGGGTGGAGGTGGTGAAGGAGATGAAGTAGTGGTCGGAGATGGCCTTGTCGGTAATAGTGACATCCGAGACACTGAGGCCCCGGGTGATCACCAAATCGAGTGGGTGGCCGTGACTGTGAGTGGGGGAGTTTATGTGTAGGGAAAGGTTGAGTGAGGAGAGCAGGGAAGAGAAGTCTGTGGAGATGGAGCAGGAGGGGGTGAAGTGTAGGTTAAAGTCGCCCAGGATGATGAGGCGATCAGAGGAGAGGCAAAGAGATGTGAGGAGTGTTGAAATGTCAGAGATGAAGGTGGGAGAGGTTTTAGGGGGCCGGTAGAGGAGGAGGATTTTAAGGGAGAGGAATGAGGGGTGGGAGAGGGTGAGGTGCTCGAAGGAGGGGAAAGAGCCAGAGGAGTAGGGGGATAGGGCAAGTGGTGTCCTTGAGATAAGGGCAACACCACCGCCACGGCGGTTGGGGCGGGGGATGTGGTGGGAGGTGTAGCCGGGTGGCGTGGCCTCCGTGAGGGGGAAGGTGTCGCCTGGGGTGAGCCAGGTTTCTGTCAAGGCCATGATATCAACGTTCTCATCAAGGATGAGATCGTTGATGACCAGGGCCTTGTTGCAGAGGGAGCGGACATTTTGCAGTCCGATGTGGAGGGAGCGGTTGACAGAAGGGTGTGTGGGAGGGGAGGGGGGTCCAGGTTGTGAGGCAGGGGTGGGGGGAATGGGGATGAGGGAGGAGAGGTTGACTCCCCGGGTCTGTGTCCGGGGTGGCTGGCGAGTGTGGTGGGGAATGGGGCAGTCGGTGTGGCTGCTGCTGGACAGCCAACGCCGAGTGCCGCGGTGAGCCCGGCGGAGGATTCCCAGGCTGGAGCAGAGGGAGGTTGTGGGAGGGTCAAGTGGGGATAGAAGACGAGAGGGACGGAGAGAGAGGAGGAGAGAGCGGGAGAGATGGAGAGGGGGGAGGGTTTGGGGGGAGAGAGGAGGGGGGCGGGAGGGAGGGGGTGAGGGGGCTCGGGTCAAAGCGGCAGCCATAGTGCGCACGCGGGGACCGGGAGCGAGCGGTCAGGTGGATGGCATTATCCCGTAGATTGGGGCATCGAACCCAACAGGACCATAGTGGGCTCTGATGTGAGCCCTGGGGGGGGGGGGGGCGCGGAGTTTGTTTTTTTTTTTTTTTTTTTGTGTGCGCGCACTCACCTGAAAACTAATCTATGACGTCGCAGTTCCCCCGCTCCGCCCCCACACCTCCATCCCCTCGCTGCCGAGCTGCACTCGCTCCGGCGTCGAGTTTAAGTACCTGGGTCAGTAGGCCCAGGCTCCTCCCCGCGCTGTCCTGCTGCCGCTCCCCGACTGGCACTACCCACACAAAAGGTGTTATATAAATGCAAGTTGTTGTTGTTAACACCTAGAAGACATTAGGAAGAAGCATGGAAGCCAAGACACAACATGTTTAGGAAATAGTTTGCTACAGTAATAGGAAAATAAATCATTTACCCTTGGAGTTATTGAGAGAGTTAAGTATTCATTTAATTGCATTTGAGGCATGTCCCCTCAAGGCATTATTTGGGCTTTGCTAAACGATTATAGAATAAATTAATCTTTCTTTGAAAGCTTGTCAAGCTTTTAATAGCAACCTTTAAAAATCTATATCTTGCCTAGAAAAGAAGCTGTTCGTTCCAAGTTGAAAAGCAATTAATTCTTGACTTTTTTNGTAATAGCCTGTGACTGTCAGCCAGAAGGTTCTGTGCATGGATTTTGCCATCATACGACTGGTCAATGCCAGTGCAATGAAGGAGTTTATGGCCGTCAGTGTGACCAGTGCCAGCCTGGGTACTGGGGCTTTCCTAACTGTCACCCATGTCAGTGCAATGGACATGTAGATCACTGCGACTTGGAAACCGGTGAATGTTTGGGCTGCAGAGGGCACACCACTGGCCATAGCTGTGAGAGGTATGTCCTTTGGGATGTCCTTCCATCGTGAAAGGCAGTATATAAATGTAGTTTATTGTTGTTTTATGTTATTTCTGTGTGTAAGTTTTCCCCCATGATGTAAGCTTGTGTGAAGATGCATCCAAATGTAACAATGTTTGCAGGTAACTGGTTATTATGTAACAATGTGTGTGTTTGCAGGTGTCTGTCTGGTTATTATGGGGATCCTGTACTCGGGTCAGGTGACCATTGTCACCCATGTCCTTGCCCAGATGATCCTGAGAGTGGACGCCAATTTGCCACTGGTTGTTATCAGGATTCATATTCCCAGAACATTGTATGCATCTGTAAGAGTGGATATATAGGTAATAATTCAAATGGTTGTCCTGCATTAAGTACTGATTTTAATTAGGGTTCTATAGGAACTCTCAGTTCTCTTTACTGTTCTGTAGGTTACATTGAAACTTCCTATATGTATTTGATGCGCTCTTGAAATACCCTGGACTATGTATCCAAATGTTCATTATTGTTTTTTGTAAATGGCTCTAATTGAGATTCATGCAAAAATTCAACATGCTGCATATTAAATCCATCTAACATTTGCTTAGAGAATTTTTATCCATGTGAGTTAGGTATGAAAGAAATGTAATAATGTCTTTAATGTCTTGTGGAATACTTCCAAAACATTGTTTTTATATTTAGCAAATTCAAGCTAGCGCTGCTTAATTCCAGTTTGTGTGCAGTGTAGAATAGTGTTTAAATACTTGTATTTGCATTGAATGAAGAGAATGTTTGGGATTCTTTGTATCAATTGTATTAGTTGGTAATAATTCTATGTTTTGTTTCTTTAAATTTGTTCATCTTTTCATCACTTACAGGTTCTAGGTGTGATGAATGTGCTTCTGGGTTCTATGGTAACCCTTTGGAGATGGGAGGACTTTGTCAAGAGTGCCATTGCAACCACAATGTTGATGTGACTGATCCAGAGTCATGCGACAAGCAGACAGGACGTTGTCTGAAATGTCTGTTTCATACTGAGGGTGAACACTGCAACCACTGCAGAGTGGGCTATTATGGTTCTGCACTACAACAGAACTGCATAAGTAAGACGTTTTGGCCTAACACTGCACCTAGATGGATGGCAATTATCATATATATTTCTCTGTATTGCTAACTGAGATTGGAGAAAGGCCTGTAGTCAAAACAAATTGTGATTCATGACTTCAAGACGACTATCAGTCTACTCTGAATCTTCTTTCCAAATTACCATCCTTCCATATTGTAGGATGGGTATTTTGGAAGGGAATATTAAATCAGTCTTGTTTGTCATTTTGTTCATGTACAATGTTCTCATGTTGGATGAGAACAAGTTTGAACTCCGGTGAGATATTTGATGCCTCTATGCATGCTAATTTTCCAGGCTACACAATAATAATAGCAAATCTGGTTGCTTGCACCTGTGAAACTGTATTCTCATTTAAAAAGGGGAAAATGTGTTTTGAAAATAAACCTTCAGGAAGGTAGAACATTGGCAATTTGCAGTAGAAAAAACTACACATTTAATCCAGGCACAGCACCCACAAGCTAAGTAACAAACGGTTCTATATGAAACGATTCACAATAAAACTAATGCAACCTGTCTCTTAGATTAGTTCTGCAAACACCTGTTTTTCTGCCTTTAAATCATTTTCATTGTTGTTGCTTTTTTCAAATGATGAAAGGAGTTTGTTTGCTACTTTATTCCCCCTGACTTCACAAGCCCCAGAGAAATTACAGCTTTGTTTAAACAAAACACCTTTATTTTTTTTAAGATCTCAGCAGATGAAATGGCAGAGTAATTAACAGCTACTTACATGACTTCTTACCTATTTACATTTTTGCTTCAAGTTTTCTTGTTAACATGTCTGCAGCTCTTAACACTTTTTTATTTTAATTGGTCAAATGTTGCTGAAGATCTGCCTTTAAGGGAAGCAGAGCAACTTTTTCCATGAATCTTAACCGAGCAGTAGTTAATTTGAATCTTGATGCAAGAGAAACTGAAATGCGGACATCTTAAACAGTTGGGTAGCACTTTCCATTCTGATACTACCTCGCCGACATCCTCACTCCCCAATCCACCACCTGGCCCCTCCGCTCGACTGGCACCAGCCTCCTGCTTGTCCCTCGCACCCTCCGCCCCACCATCGGAGATCACACTTTCAGCCACTACGCCCCCAAACTCTGGAACACTCTCCCTCAATCCCTCCACCTTGCCCCCTCCACTCTTTCAAGTCCCACTTGAAAATTTTCCTCTTCGACAGTGCTTACAACCATCTCTCCCTCCCCTCAGCTCGAAATCAGGCTATGCCACTGTTAAGCGCTCTGAGACACTACTCAGCTTGGAGGGTGCTATATAAGTGCAAGCTGTTGTTGCTGTGCAGTTTTAGCTGGTTAAACTCCAGCTGTACCACAATACACATTCTGCGATCCCCAAGCCTTGGTTCCTACGTACCTGTGGTTAATGATCTTTGGAATTAGTTAAGCAGGGTGTGTTCCTCCAGGGAGAGAGTGATGCATGTGGGACTATGTCTGGTTTGGGATTCTCTTGGAGCTGGTGATGGGATTCCACTTGAGTCAGCTGTCTGGCTGGTCAAAAAAAAATGTGTTTGAGTTGTGCTGGCTACTTACAGTACATATATGTACAGATTGCCATTTGAACTAGTATGTGGGAGTGATGTCTTCATGCAGTGCATTCAGGTGTGTACTCATTGCTTATAATCCACATTTAAGGTCCTCCTGTCAACAAAAGCTATAGAATATTTTGACACAGTTCTGTTGATCAAGAGAAGGAAACCCTTCCCCTACCCAATCAACAAGGATTCAAACAGATACTTTCTTGAATGGTTCAGTACTCGTCAGTTACCATCTCTGCTGAGCCATCTTTTAATGGAACCTCTTTCCATATTTGTTTAAAAGATAGTCTGACTTGCATCTAGCCAAACAGCAAGTATTGTTTATTTTGAATATCTGTAACTTATTCAGTACAGTAAGTAAATCACTCTTTGCGCAGATAGCAATGTTCTATTCATTAACCAATAAAGAAGCAAAGTAGTTTCAAGTTGCATGATAACACAATCATGTATTATCATTCTCCAATCATCTTTTTTTCCAGAATGTGTCTGTAATTACTTGGGTACAGCACATCATCAGTGTGTCACTACAGATGAATGTCGTTGCAACCAGACGACTGGTCAGTGCCCTTGTCTTCCAAATGTGACTGGGCTAAGATGTGATCGCTGTGCATCAAATACATGGAAGCTGGCAAGTGGGACTGGATGCGAACGTTGCAACTGTAATGAAGTTCACTCACTAGATATGTCTTGTAATGAGGTAAGAAATTATTCCTATAAAATAATAGTATTCCTGTAAAATAATGGCAGTTATTTTAAAGCTTAGTCTGAAAAATGATACCTTGCATAGTTTTTTAAAGTTCAATATTTTCTTTTTAACTACAAATTGAACAGTGAAGTTCAAATTGTTGAAAAAGATGTCCTATGAGTTACTGTATTGTTCCAGTTCACAGGACAGTGTCGATGCATGCCTGGGTTTGGAGGTCAAACTTGCAATGACTGCCAGGAGTACTTTTGGGGAGATCCCAGTGTGGAATGTATGAGTAAGTAACTGTGAATGAAGATATTCCTATTGTTCACCGCACTTACTGAATATAAAATAAATATCCTTGTTCGGGAGATAGGAACAAGAAAGACGATTCGAACCATTGAGCCTTTTCCACCACTTCATTGGAATCAGGATAGATTTTTAAAATCACTTTTCCCCACCTTTTCTCCATACCCCTTAATACCCTAATTTCCCATGAATATGTGTCACCCATTTGATCATTTCAATTGTTTTTTCCTTTATGACCTTCTGGGGGCTCTGAAATTATTGTGAAACATAGAATTGCACAGAAGGAGGTCATTCAGCCCATCGTGTCTCTTTCAGAAGAACTATCAAATTCAATCCCACTCCCCCGCTCTCTCCCCATAGACTGTAAACTTGTCCTCCCCAAATAATTATCTACTTCTCTCTTAAAAGTTGTTATCAAATCGGCTTCCACCACCCTTTCAGGCAATGCATTCCAGATCCGAACAATTCACTGTGCGAAAAAATTTCTCCTCACCTCCCCTCTGTTTCTTTTAACAGCTATTTTAAATCGGTGTCCTCAGGTTACTGACCCACCCGCCAGTGGAAATAGTTTCTCCTCGTTCACCCTATTGAATCCCTTCATAATTTTGAAAACTTCTATTAAGTCTCCTCTTAACCTTCTCTGCTCCAAGGAGAATAATCCGAGCTTCTCTGGCCTCTCCTGATAACTGAAGTCCCTCATTCCTGGTACCATCCTGGTAAATCTCCATTGCACCCTCTCCAATGGCTTGACATCCTTCCTAAAATGTAGTGGCCAGAACTGAACACAGTTTGTAGCTGAGGCCTAACCAGTGTTTTATAAAGGTTTATCATAACCTCCTGACTTTTGTATTCTATGCCCCTATTTTTAAAGCCTAGTATCCCATATGCTTTTTTTACAGCTTTATCTATCTGTCCTGTCACATTCCAAGATTTACCTATATGAACCCCAGGTCTCTCTGTTCTTTCACCCCCTTTAGGATTGTACCATCAGCTTATATTGCCTCTCCTCATTCTTCCTCCCAAAATGCTTCACTTTGCATTTCTCCAAATTAAACTTCATCTGCCACGTGTCTGCCCATTTTACCAGTCTGTCTATGTCCATTTGCAGTCTGCTACTAGCCTCCTCACTGTTTACTACTTTTCGTAGCTTAGTATCATCTAAAGTTGTCAGCTAAAGTTGACACTGTTGAAAAATAATGTTCTTTGAAATTATACATTGTAAGTACTGGTTCCCCACCCTGCAAATATCACTGTTTCTTACAAATCTCACAGGATCATGATGGCCTACTGAATGGCCACCTAACCTACATGTCTCTGGAATTTAAGAGGTGTAATATTCTTACACATATTTCCCAGCTGTGTGGGAGGGGAGGGTGATTCTCCTGCAAGAAGCTGGTAGATGTGAAATCAGCTGTTACTGTGTGGGTAACTGGAGTACATGCACATCCTGTTCCTCCATATGCAGTACATTAGAATGCCAGTATGCTATGTTGCTTGGACATGTCTGGTGTCACTTTTATTTTGCCAAAAATATCAGTTACTAGTGTTTTTTACCTGGTAGATGAGGAAGAAACTGAAGAATAATTTTTGTTCTGTCAAGTAGATCTGGAGAGGAAGAAATTTCTAAACTGATCACTGATGGCAGTTATGAAATAGATTTTTATTTCTACAACAGAAATTGACTAATTTTAAAGTAAGAAAAATGTGTGATCATCTTTGTATTGTGGGGAAGGGTGTTAGCTGCTTGTTGTCATAGTTCATCTCATATTAGAAAACCATCTTGTTTTGGTATATTTTTTCTTCAAGGCTATGTATAACAAATCTCCTAACTTGGTCATTGTGACTTTACAAGTTGTAACTAATTATTCTATTACAAGAATGCACTCTGGTTTTGGGAGGCAAAATTGTATTATTAATAGTTGTGCACAACAGTCTTAGCTAAATATCTTAATTTGTGGAACATCTGCATCCAGTTTAAACAGTGTGTTGTATATTAGTCTAGATGGGCCCCATTCATAAGTCTTGCAGAGGAATAAATTACAGACAAATCTTGTGTTCTTGCCAAATCTGAAAAATCTATTAAGGAGTGATTTGCAGTTTAACCCTGATGTATTTCATTTTCGATATCATTTTGTATATTAAAAAGTGGAAAATTGGAACTTAAAAATCTGTTTGATAGCACCTGCCCACAATTCATTTAAATAATCCTTGCATTTGATCTACAACAACAACAAGATTCCATTTATAGAGTGCCTTTCACGTCGGGAGGACGTCCCAAGGCGCTGGACAGTTGGGTCAGGACCCGAGCAGGGGGAAAATGGTCAGGGTGAGGGAAGGGAAGGGAGGGAGCGAGGAGGGGGTAGAGTGTCGAGAGGGGAGGTGAAGGCTCGGTCAAAGAGAAAGGTCTTGAGACCGGCCTTGAAGGAGGAAAGGGAGGAGGCGGCGAAGGCACTGGGGGATGGAGTTCCAGAGCCTAGGGGCTGAGAGGCTGAAGGCCCGGCCACCGATGTTGGGGCGGGGGATGTGGAGGAGACCGGAGCCAAAGGAACGGAGGGTACGGGCAGGTAAGCAGGGGGATAGTAGGTCAGAGAGGTAGGAGGGAGCAAGGCCGTGAATGGCCTTGTAGGTGAGGGTGAGGATCTTGAATTCGATCCTCTGAGGGATGGGGAGCCAGTGGAGGCGAGCGAGGGTGGGAGTGATGTGGTCCCGAAGCCTGGTGCGGGACAGTACACGAGCTGCAGAGTTCTGAATGACCTGCAGTGTGGAGGGAGGTGCCGGGAAGCCCGGCGAGGAGAGAGTTCCCATAGTCCAGCCTTGAGGTGAAAAAGGCGTGGACCAGAGTTTCAGCCGCGTGAGGGGTGAGGTAGTGCCATAGTCTGGCGATGTTTCGGAGGTGATGGAAGGCAGTGCCAGTTGTGGCGCGGATGTGGGGAAGAAAGGACAGCTCAGGGTCGAACAGAACCCCGAGGTTCCTGAGTGGCTTTGAGAGGTGGAGAGTGCAGCCTTGGATGCTGATGCTGTCAGCGCCTGAGGTGCGGAGGCGCTGACGTGAGCCAATCAGGAGGGCCTCAGTTTTGCGCACGTTGAGCTGAAGAAAGTTGTCTCTCGTCCAGGACTCGATGTACGAACAGGCAGGATATTAGGACATCGGTGGTCGTGGAGTTGAGGGTAGAGGAGGAAAGGTAGAGTTGGGTGTCATCCGCATACATGTGGAAGTTAACCCCATGTCTGCGGATGATGTCACCAAGGGGGAGCATATAGAGGGTGAAGAGGAGGGGACCGAGGACAGAGCCCTGAGGGACACCACACGAGACAGTGCGGGGGCTGGAGGAAAAGCCGTTTGTGGAAACAAAATGAAGACGGTGGGAGAGGTACGACCTAAACCACTCAAGGACAGGGCCTTGAAGGTTGAGGTGGGAGGACAAGCGGTGGAGGAGGATAGCGTGGTCGACCGTATCGAATGCTGCCGATAGGACGAGGAGGCAGAGGGAGCCCTGGTCGCAGATGGTCAAGATGTCATTGATGACCTTGACCAAAACGGTTTCTGTGCTATGCGCAGCACGAAAACCCGACTGAAGGGGTTTGAATAATGAATGGGTGGAGAGGAAAGAGCGCAGCTGGGAGGCGACAACTCTTTCAAGGACCTTGGACAGGAAGGGGAGGTTGGAGATGGGCCGGTAGCTTGATAGCTGCAACGCATCAAGGGAGGGTTTTTTCAAAGTGGGAGTGATGATGGCAGTTTTTAGGGGAATGGGAACAGAGCCAGAGGAGAGGGACAGGTTGATGATGTCTGTGATATGTGGGGCAAGGAGGTGGAGCTGAGAGATAAGGAGTGGAGTGGGGATGGGGTCAAGGGAGCAGGTGGTGGGTTTCAGGGACAGGATGAGTTTGGTGACAGAGGGTGGGGAAACGGGTACGAAGGTGTGCAGGGGAGGATGGGTAGGAGTCGGAGTGTGGGAGGGAGGGGGTGGGGGGTGGGTGGAAGTTGGAGGGGGAGTGACCGCGGAGCGGATTCCCTTGATTTTGGATTCAAGGGAATCTCCTCGCAGTGAAGTTTGGAGGAGATGACCGGCGGGGTGGCGGGGGGGGAATGGAGGAGTCGGGATGTGGTAGAAAACAGAAGCCTGGGGTTGTTCTTCGCCTCCAGGATTATCCTGGAGTAGAAGGACGACTTGGCCGAGGCTAGAGTGGAGCGGTAGATTTTGAGGAGGTCCAGCCAGATTTGTCGGTGGACCGTTAGGCCAGATTTGACCCAGGTGCGTTCAGCGGCCCGCACCTGGCTCTTCAGTGAGCGGAGGTGGGTGGTGAACCAGGGGGAGGAGCGAGAGTAGGAGACAGTACGGGAGGTGATGGGGCAAGAGTGTCAAGTGTGGAGGAGAGGGTGTTGTGGAGGAGGGTGAGAGCAGAAGAGGGGTCGGTGAGGGTTGAAGGCCAGAGGGAGAGGAGTTCAGAGGACTCCAAGGCAGCGGTTAGGGATTGAGGGGGTAACTTCTTCCAGGGGCGGTAGAAGATGGTGGTGGATCTGGTGGAGGTGGGGAGAGGGGGGTGGAGGTGGTGAAGGAGATGAAGTGGTGATCGGAGACGGCCTTGTCGGTAATTGTGACATCCGAGACACTGAAGCCCCGGGTGAGCACCAAATCAAGTGGGTGCCCGTGACTGTGAGTGGCGGAGTTGATGTGGAGGGAGAGGTTGAGCGAGGAGAGCAGGGAGGAGAAGTCCGAGGAGATGGATCAGGAGGGGGTGAAGTGCAGTTTGAAATCGTCCAGGACGATGAGGCGATCAGAGGCAGAGAGATGTTAGTAGGATAGAAATATCGGAGATGAAGGTGGGAGAGGTTTTAGGGGGCTGGTAGAGGAGGAGGATTTTAAGTGAGAGGAAGGAAGGGTGGGAGAGGGTGAGGTGCTCAAAAGAGGGGGAAGAGCCAGAGGAGTAGGGGGATAGGGCAAGTGGTGTCCTTGAGATAAGGGCTACACCACCGCCACGGCG